GGTCCGCACGCCCACGCGAGTGCGGGGGAGGGGTGTGGGGCCCCGGAGGTAGGGGAGGCAGCGCGCACGGGCTGGACCTCCTCCTACCCTGGGAAGTTGGGGCAGTTTCCCTCTGCACCTGCCTCTTCCTTAGGCCTGGCGGTGTCCCGCGATGAGAGTCCTTCCCGTTCAGGCCAGGTGTCCCTGTCAGGCGACCCCTTGGGGCACCCAGCAATTTAGGGCTTCAGCTTCCTTTTCCTTCGATACCCAGGAGCCCACATCCCCAGCTCACTTCTCCCCTAGGACCTCGGTGGCTGGGCCCCCTTGCCCCTGACTCTGGGAACCCAGGAGTTTGAAGCTCAGGCGTGTTTTGCCTCAGTCCTGGGGTCCGGGCTCCCTCCTCCCTCAGACCAGGGATCCAGGCCAGAAGGTCCTTCCTGTCTCACTTCACCTCCCCTAGGATGGACCCTCGAGTCCATCCGCGTCCCTCCATTTGTGGCTGCTGTTTCTGTCCAGTGCCCCTGAGGCCCTCGGCTGCTGGGGTCCGCAGGAAGCCACGCCATGAATGACCGGAGCAGCCGGAGGCGGACAAGTGAGGAAGCTGGGTCCCCTTCCCTACCCTGGGTCCCAGTGCGGTCGGCTCCAGGCTGCCGTGGTTGGGGGGTGGTCTGAGGGGCCCGGGACTTCTCTGGGGTGACCCGGGGCCTCTCCTCTCCAGTGAAGGACGATGAGACCTTCGAGATCTCCATCCCCTTCGACGAGGCGCCCCACCTAGACTCACAGATCTTTTACAGTCTGAGCCCCTCTCGGGGAAACTTCGAGGGTGAGCCGAGGGGGCGTGGAGGGACTGGAGTCAGCTGGGAAGCCAGGCCGAGTCCCAGGGTGTGACCTGGTCCCCCCACCCTCGCTGTGTCCCTAGAGCCTCCGGAGGCTGCGTCCCCCGCCCTGGCTTTGATGAACAGCGTCAAGGCCCAGCTGCACATGGCTCTGGAGAGGAACTCCTGGCTGCAGAAGCGCATCGAGGACCTGGAGGAAGAGAGGGACTTCCTGCGGTGCCAGCTGGACAAATTCATCTCTTCTGCTCGGATGGAGGCAGGTATGTGTGGGGTGCTCTGATCCACCTGCCTCCTTGTCCCGCTACTGGGTACCCGCTCACCCAGACTCGAGGCTCCACAGTTTGCCTGGCTGGGTGGGACCTGCCATGTTGGCCCTCTCTGCTAGTCCCCTGCCTGTTTTGGGCCCCCAGGCCCAGCTTCCTCTTCACTTGATGTCCAGGACCTCATCCCCATGAACTGTCTACTGGGGCCTGTCCTCCTGCTTTTTCCTTCAGCTCCCCAAATCCCATCAGCCTCCAGTGCCCTGCCATCTGCTTCCTCGGCCTATGGTGACTTCAGGATCCTGGAACCTGAGAGTCCCTCTCTTCTGACTCCTAGGGGGACCTTCCTTCATCTCTTTGGCCGAGAGGCCCACCCTAGTCCTTTGGGTTTCCTCAGGGGGCCCCTGATCCTCTTCCTGGCCCTGTCTTCTCCAAGATCCAAGAGTCCAGCCATCCAGCCCCCTCCTGTCCCCCCCGTCCCCTGTGTGACACCAGGGGCCATCTTCTCACCCACCCTGTCCCATCCTTGGTTAATGAGTTCTCCTTCCTCATGAAAGACATTAAGACTCTTCCTGTGTGGGCCTTTTTGGGTGGGGACCCCAGCAGGTGCTGTCCCTCAAACCCTGCCCCAGGTTCCTGGGCAGTCCCCGCCCACATACCTTGCTCTGCTATAATTCATGGCCAGAAGCAGCCGGGAGAGCTCCCATAGCAGCCCCCAGCCCCAGCCAGTTCACAGCTAGCATCTTCTCTGGGACCCTGTGTCCTGCTTAATACATTTTGGACCCCAGCCACATCCTCTTCCCCAGATGGTCAGGCCCTTTGCCAGACAGCCCATGTCCTGGAGAACCCACACTGTACCCCGCCTACCCTCAGCTCGGCCTTGCTAGCTCCTTGGCTGAGAAGACCCCTCAAAAACTCCCACATCTCTCTTTGTGAATTCAACCCTTTCCCCCAAAAACTTGGGCAAGGGGCCTATGGTCTCCTGGTGTCTGTTATGGGAGCCCAGCATCTGGGGATCTGGCCTTCCCTCTGCTCTGGAACAAACCGCCTCTGACTGCCCTTGCCTGCCACTGTCTCCTCCCACTGATGGTTCCATGCTGGGTGACTGACTCCTTTGCACAGATGGTTGGTCCTGTGGCCTCGGCACTTTCCCAGTGGGGACCCTGGCACCAGACCCCTCTCCTAACCCGCCTTCTAGAGGACCCTGTGTCTGGGCCTCCGCCAGCCAGCTCCCTCTGTCTAGATGGAGGTGGAACCCATCCTGCTGGACCCAGGACCCCTGATTTCTCTCAGGGTCTGACCCCCCGACTCCAGCCAAGGCCTTGCCTGCCTCCTGGGTTTACAGAGGCCACTCTCCGGAGGTCCCACCCAGTCCCCAGAATCTCTCCCTCCCCTGTGGGAACCGCATATACTCTCAGGGGTCCTGAGGTCCCTGGTCGGCTGCCTCCCCAAGACCTCTTGCCAACCCAAGCCTCTGAGAAAATGCTGCACCCATTACTACCTCCCACAGACCCCAGCAGGCTCTACTCAGCCACCAGCATCTCTCCTGTCCTTCCTGTCCGTTTCTTTAGGGGACCAGCCCAGGTTGGGGGATCCAGTACTGGGGACTGCAGCCTCTCTCAGTCCCAGGACCTGTGATGGGATGTCTGGTCCCATAGTTCACGTGTGTGTCTCTCTCCCCAGAGGACCACTGCCGGATGAAGCCTGGGCCCAGGCGGATGGAGGGGGACAGCCGGGGTGGGGCTGGGGGCGAGGCCTCGGACCCTGAGTCAGCAGCCTCCTCCCTCAGTGGAGCCTCCGAAGAAGGCAGCGCCAGCGAGAGGAGGCGGCAGAAGCAGAGGGGAGGTGCTAGTCGGAGGCGCTTTGGGAAGCCCAAGGCCCGGGAGAGGCAGCGAGGTGGGTGAGGTGCATGGCGCGGGCGCTGAGGGGCCTGGGCTGCTGAATTGCTGTGTGTCCTTCCCAGAGGCCCTCCTTTCTCTCCAAGCCCCTCCAGCTTTGCTGGAGAAAGACCCACCGGGTTCTTTCTCTCCCTCCTCCCTTGTAATCGTGGGATTACAAGGCGTGAGCCATAGCGCCTGGCCTGTCCTGGGTCTACTTTAAGTTTTGGTCAACCCTCGAGGGCAGGGCCACCTTGGGCACCTCCTTAACCTTCATCGGTAAGAAGGAGGTGCGCAGTAGGACCTACCTCGGGGCGGGTGAGGCTTGAATAAGTGAATTCACCTGAGGCAGGGAGGTGAGGGTGATGGTTGGGCGGGGGTTGTTGCTGGGACCGCGTTGGTTGAACCCGGCCTCTCGGCTCATGTTCTCTCCTCACCCTCCTTCCTGGGCCTGCCTCTTCCCATTTCCCACTGGTCCAAGTACTGGCTGCGCTTCTTCCCCTCCTCTCCGCCCCTCCCTTCCCTGTTCTCCGTATCCTCCTGCACCGCCCGTGCCTCTACTGGCCGGGATCCTTCCTTCCCATGGCCGTTTCCCTTCCCGTGTCCGCCCCCTCGGTCTTGGCCCCAGCTCCTCACTTCCGTGTCCCCGCCTCCGCCCCGCAGTGAAGGACGCCGACGGGGTCCTCTGCCGGTACAAGAAGATCCTGGGCACCTTCCAGAAGCTCAAGAGCATGTCGCGGGCCTTCGAGCACCACCGCGTGGACAGGAACACCGTGGCGCTGACCACGCCCATCGCCGAGCTGCTCATTGTGGCCCCCGAGAAGCTGGCCGAGGTGGGCGAGTTCGACCCCTCCAAGGAGCGCCTGCTCGAGTACTCCCGTCGCTGCTTTCTGGCCCTGGACGACGAGACGCTCAAGAAGGTGCAGGCGCTCAAGAAGAGCAAGCTGCTGCTGCCCATCACCTACCGCTTCAAGCGGTGATCGCACCACGCCTCCGCGCCTCCGCCCGGGCCTTCCTCCCCTGCCGACCCCGGCCCTCCCCAGG